CCTGCCGCCTTTAACCAATCAAATTCGTGAAATTTGATTAATCCCGGATCAGTCCGAAATTCAAAACAAATAATTAATCAAAATAAAATATATGTAAAAATGGGCCCTTTTAACTTGGAACACCCCATTTGGGTGAAATGGCGGATCTTAATGATATGGACTATTGATGATATTTGGGATATGGGAATGTAAATAATAGAATTAACAATTATAAATAAAGGCCTTCTGGCCCTTCAGAAACAACAAGTAGTTCCCGATTTACCTAACTGCTAATAATAAAGTACCTAAGTATATAAACATAATCTATAAACTACATACATTTGTTTATTAACCACTCGTCCAAATCTAACACGCCTCTTTCGACCTAAAAATAACCTAAACCTTGGTGGTACGAACCTACCAACAATTTAGTGACAGACTCGCCGTTTTCGGGTCTGACAGCGGTATGTTTTGTACCGGCTGAAAATTATATTATCGAAAACTTTACTTTTATTACCGAAAAATAATTACCGAAATTTTCAAATCAGCTGTAACAGCCGCCCACTTTATGCGGGCGGGCGGGAAACCACCGGTTAATGCCAAAATGCCTTCCCAAGTCCAAATCAATACCTGTCAAATCTGATAAATTAATAATTTACCGGTCCGTTTCCGCTATATGAATCTAATAAGTTCATAATGTTTTCGAATCTGATGATCACATTATACATCAATTGCACCGATGTATGCTATATTTCTCTTTCAATTATGCATCAATCACTGATGTATTTTATATATCTCTCTCAATTATACATTATTTGCACAAATGTGTCGCTATTTGCGCTGGAATGTATCCAACAATCATTTCACATGCCTTTCAGTTCCATTAATTCATATCTCATTTAATTTTAATTATATGAATTGACAGGAAGGGAACTTTTACATCGATCTATTACTTTTCACCTTTCGAACCCGTTCCCTGTAAAATTAATCCAAAATGACTACAAATATATGTATACTGAGTTGATCCTTCTAGCCGTTTTGAAAACACTATTATTTGACATTTATTATTGAAAAGTAATATTAAGAGATAATCATGTAGAATTGATTTTTCAAGAGTCGAGTCCGATAAGATGAAAATTAGTGAATTAATTTACAAGTTTTTCCTTTCGACATTCACATTAAATGCGTAAGTATTAAGATCATTTAATTGTGCTTTCAGATTAAAAATGTTCATGTATTCAACAATTGATGTGACAAACTATGGATTTTATGTGTTGAACTCAGCTATTGACAAATTCAATATAATCTACTCGCGATTCAAATTTATCATCGTACTGCTATGCGTCAAATTTAATTTTATTTATCCGTGTTATTTCTATTAGGTAATTGTACTGTAATAAATGTAAATGTTCATTTATTAATTGGTTACTTATTCAAATTTATAGCATTTATTTTTTACTCTATATCTCTTATTTGGTTTTACTTATTCATATTGATTTATTCGATACTGTAAATGTGAAGATTCTTGATTAATCTGTTATTTGAATAAAATTATTATGCAAACCTGACTTTATAACTGATAAGGAAATTTGAGTTTAGAAAGTTTGCATTGTAGTTTTTAGCTATTAATTTGTAACATAAAGAGTATAGTATGTTGTAGAATATGACTAAATCTATTTATAACTCAAAATCCTAACTGTAAAAAGACTAAAAAATGAGTCAATGATTTTAAATTTTATTTAAATAGATATTTAATGTGGTTGGTTAGCATGTCTAATATATTAGCTTGCTATATATAGATTTTTTAAATTAGACTTTTTTTTGGCCATTTAATAATTTATTATTTATAAATAAGATAAGAAATACAAATTTGTTATATAAAAAGTCTCATTTCACTTACATAAACAATATAATTTGTTAATAATAGATCATAATTGATATTAGCAATATAAAATAACATTATTATAAAGATATTTGCGATTTTTTTTATCTAAGAATAACTTAACTATAGTTATTATTTTTGTACGCTTCATTTGATTTTTTCGGAACAAAGAAGTACGAAATTTTTCCAGAACTTAGAGTTTTTGTGTTAAAACCTCCATAAATAACTTTATCAGAGATAACATTTAGGAATCCATGGTTTTGACAACTTTCAGAAAACAGATTCACCAGTACTGGCTCATTCCGATTTTTATTTTCAGGGAAATTAAATGCATTTGGCTGAGTTTCACACATTTGCTTACCAATATCAATTTGACCAGCATTATATTTTTTAGCGGCATTGTGCATATCGATAGTGCTGCAAAAATAAATTCGTTAATACTTTTAATAAAATTATTATGAATTGGCTACATAGTAAAATTTTAATTAAATTTATAAAATTACCATATGAACAATTTTAGCCTCTGTAAAAGTGAATCGTCATCAACAATCATGTTTTTTTTAAGATCATAAACAAACAAGCACGCGGAACAATTAGAAGAAATATGTGTACCAACAACTATTGATGTTTTAGATACTTCATCTAACTTAGATGCTTCAAATACACATGTGCTTAATAGACAAGTATTATCACATTTTAGAAATTCAAATTCAGCTCTATATTGATTATTTAGTTTAGAAACTGGAAATTTGCCACTTCTTAGAACTACGGGATATTCAGCCAGATCAAAATCAAAATAATTAGGTTGGCCAATAATAATCCATCCAATTTTGGGATATATTTTGCGTTTTTTATGTTGAGAACTTTGGCTTGTAATAAGATGAACTACTATATATGGGTTGTTATCAATATATTCTACCCGCAAAGAAAAAGCATCATCTGTAGCTTGTTTGTTCATTATTGAAGCAAATATATGACAATCATGAATATTTAAGACTTTTCCTGATAACTTTTCAAATTCTTCTGCCAATGAATAAACATATGGCTTCTTGGAAAAATCACAACTGATATCTTTGATATTCGCTGTTATTTAGTTAAAGGATTATATGTAAAAACATAGTATATGATGATTAAGTTAATGGCAAAATTAAGTTTAAAATACCTTTTAAAATTCGATAGCCTAGCACATTCAAAATTTCTCTCCTCAAATCACCATCCAAAATATCAAATATTAAATGAACATCATCGTACCCAATAATCTTCCATTTTTTAAAATCTTTGAGTAATTCTTCCAATGCTTTTGAAGAATAATCATCATTGAGATCCCCACCAATTACTTTAGGCTTAACAAAACCTGGTTGGATTATTTGGTATTATCAGATTTAGCAGACAAAAATAAGAATAAATAATTAAGAGGAAATCGCGGTTAAAGAGATAAATTTTATAGCAAAAAAATTAGCGCATTATTATAATTTTATATAACGTTGGTGTGCCGAAAGTTTTTAACATGAAGTCATATAATTACGAAACGAAAATGCGAATTATTTGAACTGATTTTAATGTTTTAGCTCTCCCCTTATTACTGTGCAGGTAAAAGGGTTTACTTAGTAAAAATAAAAAACTTCATTGTAAATAACTATATTTCCTTTATCAAAAAGCTATAATGACGCCAATGTTTTTACAGTATATAGATACTATTTTACTTTTAACCACGATTTGCCTTTAATTGATTATCGCGTCTTTCAAATTATTGTGATCATCTCATCACATAGAAATCTTTTTATTCAATATTTGCCATAAATTTCCATGTAATTTCAATTATTTTTCATTTCATTCCATTTATCTATAGCAACCCATTTATATGCTAGATCTTTAGGGATATTATCCAGTCCGGTCTTGGATCAATAGACCATATTCCGTCATATGAACGGTTTAAACCTAAAACTATAATCCAGACCAAAATTTTTAACTGGTTAAGACTATACAAACACGTTGAGTTGAATTCATAATGAAAGACTGGTCTTAGACCGGTCATTTATTATAAATTGAATTCATAATAAAACACGGTCTCAGACCGATCATTCATTATAAATCCAGACCGAAAGTTTAAATTTATTCGAGTTTAAATTATTTGAGTTTGAATTCATAATAAAAAAGAACAGTCTTAATCCGATCATTTATTATAAACCTAGACTGTTTAGACCATTGAGTTTGAATACATAATAAATGACGGTCTCTGTAATTAGAAACTCTAAATATAAAGACCGGTCTCAGACCAGTTTTTCAGACCGAAAATTTAGATCGGTGTAGTCATCTTGAACCAAACCGTAATCAAACCAAAAAAAGATCAGACGGAACTGGGCTAAATAATATACTGAGTTGGATCAAATCGGACTGTTAACATCTCTATAAATCTTGTACCAAGAAATAATAATTTGTTTTCACCTAAATTTTCTTTATATGAAATATCTTCAATATTTGAATCTATTTTAAGTTCTAAATTAATAGAATTAGCCAATCGCAAGCTGTATTTAATACATTTCCAATTTCAATATTCCTCTGACATGCACGATCACAGTAGTAATTTGAAAAGCATGATATTTTGGTTGAGTCAATAGAAACAATATTTTTAAAAAATTTTTTCAAATCTTTAAGCAAAGATAACTTAAGAAAAACTTAATTTAATTTAAGGAAACCATTTGTATTAAAATTTAGTTTAGTTTTTGTTGAGTTACTATGCTCAAAGTTTTATAAATTTTATTTAAAAATAATTTTCTGATTTCTGTTGATTCATCTCATACTTATTTACTTACTTGAGTTGTTGGTAATTGTTTCTTCTATTATTGCTCCACCAAAAATAATGTGGCGTGCATAAAAGCTTCCATATTCCTTTGTTATTTCCCGTAGCTTCTCTATTTTGTCATCATTATTATCACATGACAATGCATTTTTAACTTGTTCTTTAAAATCCTCAGTTACATTCATATTTTCTCTTGAAATAAAAACTTCCGCTTTTTCCAATTTTTCAATTAATATTATTACTTCATCTTTTTTATACTCGAGTTTTTGCATAGGAGATGTAGTTTCGAGAAAGATAGATAGCCAAGGCATAATTGTAGAAATATCACCATATGAAACAAGGTTTCTATTGCATAAGACATCTAACTCATGTCTACATACTTTTTTCTTTTGTTCACATAATTTATGAAAAATTTTTGATTCAATTTTATCCATAATGATCTCAAATGCTTGTCTAGGTGCATTTTTAATGTGACCATTATCGAATATGAATCCATGTTCGGACATTTTAATTAATTGCATCCAGACATCTGCTACTTGAAAATAATAAAAATTTTCATTAGTGAACTTCAGTAAAATCGATTCTAAATACGTGTTAATTTCATGTTCACGAAAAATTAATTCATTTTCATTGCTCAAAAAATAATCAAAGTTTAATGTCCCTTCATCGTTCAGCATTTGTCGTACTTGATCAAGATTTATAACATCTGGTGATTGATTTTTATTAATTCTTGCATAAATTATACAAGATTGCTCAATGATGTTATTTTGAGTTTGTATTTTTGATTGTGAACTGAAGGTATCTTGATCAGTAACACCAATCGTTTCTATTGTTTGACCGTAATCTGCAATCAAAGATTCAAGACTATTTAGAACTGAAATAATATCAGGTCGTTTTTTGGGATCCATATCCACACAATCAAAATAAAGTTGAGCATATCTTTTAGGTGTATCTTCTGAAGGCAATTCTTTTTGCCCCAAACAAACAAGCATCGGAATATACTTATTATCAAAATCTTTAAAAGGTTGTTTGCAACTGGAAATTTCCCAGAGAATAATTCCAAAGCTATAAATGTCTGATTCTTTGATAACTCTACCACCATTCAAAAAGCACTGAGGGTCAACAAATGCTGGCATCCCATAAAGACTCGGAGTTACCGAATTCTCTTCATTAAGTCTGGACAATCCAAAATCTGCAATCATTATTCGTTCTTCATGAATTAAAATGTTCTTGGAATGCTAAATTATAGAACATTATCGATTACTTACGCAAATAAATCATAATTATCAGTCATTAGAATTATATGAAAATACATACGAAATCTTTGTGAATAATGCCATTATCGTGCAAAAACTTCAAACCGGAAGCTATTTTCATAGCAATATGTAATTTCTGGGGCCATCCTAAGTTTACATTTTTTTTTAAATATTCTCGCAAATTTCCGTCTTTGGCATATTCTAAAATAATATAATATTCTCCCACAAGATCTATTTATTGTATTTATATAGATTTTTTTAATTTAATATGGTCAGTACTAAAATTAAACCACCATGCATTTTCTTACTTTTAGTAACACCATAAAAATGAACTATGTTTTGATGTTGACCAAGCTGTTGTAATTTTTTAAGCTGTATAATTTTACAAAGCATATAATTAATATGTGAAATTCGCTATGCGAGTAAGCATATACGCTATAAATAATACCTCATTAACAAATTTTTTAGTATCTTTTTCATTTCGACTAACTTTACTAACTATTAATCCTTTGAGAACTATTGTTTTATTTTTCCATTTAGATTTTAAAATTTTTCCAAAATTGCCTTCATCAATTTGTTCAGTGTCACTAAATTCTCCATAATCATGATAATTTAAAATTTTATCTTTAATTGCATTTTTGAGCCACTCGTATTCCAAAGTTGGTGATAATGACATTTTGGTATACTGTATGTGAAGTTATAATTTACTGATTAATTCGTTTTGCATTAGTTGAATGTTTGTTATTCTGTTACAGTGCGCCATTTGTCAGACATTTTATAGAAAATCGGTACCGTAATACAAATGATACGTGTAGGACATATTGTTTGGTACACATATGCTGTTAATGGAATATCACTTTTTAACATCCCGTATGCTAAATCTTCTCAAATTGCTAATGGTATTTATAAAGAGGTTTAAACTCTAAGTTATACTAATATGTACTACACAAAATTAGAAATATAGCAAGGAATGTAATATAGTATTTCTAGACTCTTGTCAATCGAGATATGATTCCCGAGGAAATGATTGTTTAATTTCTGAATTTTACTTTTTTTCTTGATACAAGTGCTTGCTGACTTTTATTTTTTACATGATCTTAACCAATCAATCGTCACCATCAAATCCATCAGCACCATTACCGCCATCTTGACCTTGACCACCGTCACAACAGGATCAATGAACATAACACCAGTACCAATAACTACTGCACAAACTTCAAATCAATTTTTATTGACTTTTTATAAATATTTTTCATTCCATTATGAAGGTGCCATCTATATTAAATATACTGTCATCACAAATGAGTATTTTGAAATATTAGGCTACTATAGTGATGATTCATTAACATCTTTTAAAGCTATGGGATATACCAGAAAATTTAAATATAGCGATGACTACTAGTATGATTGCTCATATTTCGTCTGGTTTAATGCTGAATAATACTTTCTGGTTAACCATAAAAGATATTAATCAAAATTGGTAATTGTGAATTCAGATATGCCAAAATACCTTAAAGACGGTATATTTATAGTATAGTACTGTAATATAAATTTATTCCTAATTATATTTTATTATACTTTTGAAAAGTTAGATTTCAAAATGTCTTGATATAATGTATTGTTAGGATAAGAACACAAATAAGCGTTCTGTAAGTAAATTGGCTTCCTGTGAATTTTCTACCCATTTTGCTAATTTTAAATTCAGTAAAACCGTTGGTTCTAGGTTAAGATTCCTACAAGGTAAAATTTTGACAAAGTTGGCCAGTTAGTTTAATGTTGGCCAATTTTTTCAAGACTTGACCCTGTGAAATTCTTATTTTCAGGGTTTTGATCTAGCCAAAATCGTTCTCAGTAATACAAACCCCTAGGGTAAAAAGGATAAATTTGAATGTTTCTAAAACTTCTAGCGATGATTTCTCATTAAATTCGGTCAAAAAAATTGGTTATTTTAATTCTATTGTATTGTAGAATAAAATAAAATAAGTTCATTGATTTGGTTCAGAAATCATTGCGAAAAGTTTTAAAAACCTAAAATATCGGAAAATAAAATCGGGTAAATTTTCTTTCTTTAAACTTTAAACCAATAGCCATCAAAGTTTGATCAAAATTTGATGAAATACATTTTTTTATTTTAATTCTGTGAGTTCATAGATCGAGTTTTGAAAATCTGGTTGCCGAGAATTATTTATTAAAATTAATATTAAATTTTTAAAAAAAAGTTAGTTACAGCTTCTTTTTTAAAGATATAATTCATCAATTCTAAACAGCGAAATTTCCTCAAGCCATCAAAATAATATAACTTCCTTGAATCATAAATGCATTTGCAAATTCATTTGATATTATAATGTAATAGATTCAAATATTTCAGCACAACTTAATTGTCCGGAGCAAAGCGGAGGACGCTATGTTTTTACGACAGCAAGTAATCATTTTGATCACGTGAGAATTCTGTTTGTCCGCTTCCGTGAATCTGATTGGTCATAATGACTATCATATATATGCATTAAATTTTTCTCTAACTTCTGACCGGTGTGACACAATTTTTTACATTGTGAAAATTTTAAAATCACGTGCTATACGCAATTGTTTACATCACATGTTACATATAAATAATATTTTTAAAAACATTATTTGTCACGCCGGGTACTATAGTCAGTAGCTTACGTTGTGGGCGGGTAACTAATAAGAATATAACTGAATAAACTCCAATCTAAACTCTAAACTCAACAGATTTAATATAAGACAAGGTCGAAAGCTCCAAATGTGGTAGGCTTCGATAGAGGCGTGGTAAGATTTGGTCCGTGTCTTCAGAGCTTGGGCCTTTGTGGGTAGTTACTGCCGGGGTTCAGATAAGTCTCCTTCTTACCTAGACTTATATCTTACTTTTGGTTGTAGTATAAGTAATTGAAACTAACGCTTCTAATACTTCGATTATGAATATACTGCTTATTTTAAATCACGTGTGGCGAAATCACGCTAGCTGCGGAGATCGGTATATAGATCGGAACTCGGATCTTCAATTTACCGTTGATGTCACGAGGTTGGTATATCACGGGTAATTTGGGCGGTCAATTAATTGTTCGATCAATTGATTAATTGTCGACCTAATTAGTGATAACAATGCATCACGAGAAGATTAAGGGTTTAATCAAGGTATTTTGCTTATATATGTTGTGCCTCAGATCGATTCTCGCGTCGGATCTAAACCGAAGCACGTCAGATGCCGATTTCAAAGTGACGCACGTCACCTGATGATTGGTCATCTGACGTGCGTCGGTTGTAATCTGACGCAAGATCATCAAAATCAAAAAAAAAAAAAGTTTCTTTCTAATAACGTAATTATGTAATAACGTCATTATGCAATAACGTAATTATGAGCAAGGGTATAAAAAAAAGCCCTTTGCTACTTCTGCCTTCTCTTTTTGGAGCTTGATTTAA